AACAACAAAGCTCTTTGCGCATTTCCCGGAGCTGGACTCGCACGCCCCGCGTGGACGTCCGCTGTGAGTCACGCCCAGAACGGGCCCCAGAGCACCAGAGCAGCAGCTCAAACTATCCAAGTTTACCACCTTGGACCTGCATGTTCCTCCTTCCCCTTGCCAGGCCAGGACTTGGCCCTTGGCCTCCTGGTTCCAGGGGCTGTCGAGGACGGCGCGCGGCTCATTGTTGAAGTCACCCATGGCCATCCAGGGGATCCTCATCTGGCAGACCCAGTGCACGATGGTATCTAGCAGGGCCGCGTTCAAGGCCCAGGTGACGGGCTTGCCCGTGAACAGGTACACCGAGAAAAAGGCCACCCCGCCAATGCCCTTGACCTCGGTCATGCCCAGGCACAGCCTGCCTGCGGCGCCCGCGGGAGAGATGTCCCACGAATCCTGACCTGGCGCCAGGCTGAGGCTCAGGCATCGCGGTGTGACCAGCGCCACACCTGTGGAGTAGCCGCCCTCTGCCGTACGTACGGCAGGCGCACCCGCAACTCGCCAGCCCCGTCGCTCTTGCGCCGCCGCCGTGACGTGGGACCACTCGGCGGGCTTCGCGTGCTCCTGCACCGCTAGGACGGGGACGCCGCCGCTCTTGATGAGCTGGCCGATCTCCTCTTCCATGAACTCTTCGACGCGAGCCCAGGAGAGGTTGGCATTGAAGGTGGCGGCGATGACGTGGCGAGCTCCTCGCCGAGTGCGTCGGCGACTCTGAGGCATCCCAGCTGGGTCATCCCCACTGTGCTGCGACCTGCCCTCGAGGTAGACGGACTGAGGAGTGCTGGGTTCGATGGGCGGTGGCTGCCTGCCCATGGCCGCAGGCGCGCAGTAGCCCTTGCCCTGGTCAGCGCAAGCGTCCCCGCCGCCCCCAACGAGGCCACCCCCGTGCAGCTCCTCCTCGTAGAGGCCCTCGCTCGTCCAGAACTGGCCGTCCCCGAAAGTGGTCCAGTCGAGCAGGGGCGGGCCCGCGGGCCCATCAAAGAGGCGTCTGTGGGGGCGCCTCCTCTCCGAGGTGGTCGTAGAAGGAGCCCAGCACCGCCCGCTTGGCGGCTCGCTCCTCCTCGGGCAGCCCACTGAGGTAACGGTCCACCAGCTCGTCCCTCTTGCGCTTCTGCTCCTCCGCAGATCCGCCGCCGCCGTCGGCCGATGCCTCAGCAGCAGGCCCCCCTGGGGGCGCGTCAGCCGCCGCTGCGCCGGGCCCCCCAGGAGGCGCGGCGGCAGCAGCAGCGGGGGCTCCTGCGGCCTGAGGGAGCTCCTTGACCAGCTTGAGCAGGCTCTGGAGGGACTCCACGAGCGGCTTGGGCACCGAGTCTCCGTCGCCCTCGGTGTCTCCCACCAGCTTCTCCAGGTTCGCCACGAGCTGGCTGATGACTGCCTGCCCGCAGTGGGGGCCGCTGCGCCGCCGAGAGGGCCCGCTGCCCCAGCTGGGGCCTGCTCCTCAGCGACCACTCGTCTGGCCAGCTGAGCCTTCTCCTCCTGCAGCTGCTCCAGCTCCTTGCTGGCCGCCTCCTGCATCCGCTGAGCCTCCGCCAGGCGCTGCTGAAGCTCGGGCACGACCTCGTCGCGCTGGCGAGCGAGCTTGCGCTGAGCGGCGGCCATCTTGCCCTCCAGCGCCTGCAGCTGCAGGTGCAGAGGCTTGCCTGCCCGCTTCTGGGCGACAAGGGCCGCCCTCTCCGCCCGCTTGGCCTCGATGATGGACCCGAGGCTGGGGTCTGCGAGGGACTCCAGCATGCCGATCGACTTGTCGAGCACAGCGATGGGGTCGGGCTGCTCGGCTGACTTCGACTTGAGCATGTCTGTGCCAGCCCCGAAGTAGCCCCAAGCAGCGCCAGCATTGCCGCGAGGAGCGGGGCCAGCCACGCCCTTGTCCTTGCCCTTGTCACCCTTCTCCTTGCCCTTGCCTTTGGCCTTGCCCCCAGCTGGGGGGTTTGCCGCCTGCCACGGTCGCCGCACCGGAGCGGAGCGGGACGCCCGCGTGATGGCCGCCTGGATGTGCTTCGGCGCGGGGGCGAAACACTGGCGGCACTGCATCTTGGTCGCGAAGTTGCCTCCAGTCCCACAGTGCCCACATGTCCAGGGCTCGGCCCCCTGGAGCGAAGAGAGAAACTGAAGCGACGCATCCTTCCAAGGTGCCATCAACACGCTGTGGCTGGCAAAGAGGACGAGCAGGGCGGTTGAGTACCGAATGTGCCCTGACTGGTGATGTCAGGGGAAAGCTGCTGGGGCCGTGTGCGCCTCTCGGGCGCTCCCCAATGCCAGAAAGTCTCCGTCCGCTGCTGACGCCTGGGCCACGCTACGGACTTGAGCCAAAATGGCTACGGCCTCCTCCTGGTCCTCGTCCTCATCCTCGGCCTCCTCCTCCTACTCCTTCGCCTCCTCCTCCTCCTCCTCCTCCTCCTCATCCATCCTCCCCCTCCCCTCCCCCTCCCACTCCCGCGTCTCCTCCGCCTCGCCCTCCCCCCTCATCTCCTCCTCCATCTCCTCCTCCTCCTCCTCTCTGTACCTCCTCCTCCTCCTCCTCCTCCTGCTGCTCCTCCTCCTCCTCCTCCTCCTCCTCCTCCTCCTCCTCCTCCTCCTCCTCCTCCTCCTCCTAGCCCCTTTCGGCCCCCTGGTGCCCAGGAGGGGTGTCGTCCGCGGGCGCACTTGAAAGGGGCGCAGCTCGCGGGAGCCAGGGGCCTCCATGCCATGGCGCGACAGCTCCGCTGCGGACGACGCCCCATGGAGGCAATCGAGGTTGAGGTCGAGGACCACGTCGGCGTCCTCCTCTGGCATGGACGTCAGGGCCCTCGACATGGTGGAGGCAGCCACGGCCGCAGCAGTCTCGGCGGCGGTGGCTGCGGCGGTGGTGGCGATCGTCCCCGCCAAGGCCAGGCCGCAATCGGCCTCGCTGGCGGTCAGGCCGACCCAGGCCCCGCTGATGGCGCTCGCGGACGTGGGGTCGACCAAGGTGGCGGCGCCCCCATCGCCTCCCCCAGGGTCGTGGTCATCGCCTCAGGCGACGCCCTCAGCTCCGAGTGCTGCCAGGACGCGCTCGAGGAGCAGAGGGAGGTGCGCGGGCGGGATAGTGGACGACCACAACGACCTGCAGGAGCCGCCCACGGTTTGGTTGGGGGCCAACGTGAACAGCCGTGGGAAGGACCAGAAGGAGAAGAAGGACACGAAGGAGAAGAAGGAGAAAAAGAACAAGAAGGAGGGCAAGGAAGCACGCCTGATGGACTAGAGCTGCGCCTGGTAGGCGAGGCGCAAAGGCTCCAATAGTACGACGTGCTGAAGAGCAAGGGAGTCCGGTACATGGGCTGCTCCGTCACGGAGTGGCACGACATCGGCGGGGCGGAGGAGATCGATGAGGAGTACACCAACAAGGAGGTGGTGTGGTCCTAGTTGGTCGCCCTCAATCGCGAGACGTTCGCGAAGCAGGCCAGGGCTCGTGAGCAGAGGATGGCGCTTTGGAGGCTCGACAATGACATGATCGTCGAGACGCTTGGCGGCATCGGCCACAAGCAAGAGAATAAAGAGAAGAAGGAGAAGGATGATAAGCATAGGGTGATGGCAGCAATGCCAGGCCATGGCAAGAAGGAGAAGAAGGAGAAGAAGGGGAAGCTTTTGGTGCTGCCATCAGTGCCAGCCTTCTTGGAGGAGAAGAAGGAGAATAAGGAAACGCCCATGGTGCTGCCCGCGGTGCCAGCTTTTCCGAAGTTGGAGGAGGAGAAGCAAGAGGACACGTTGAAGGTGCTGATCACAGTGCCAGATGACGTCCAGGAGATGATGGCGCAGGGCATTTTCGACAAGGACAAGGTCGTGGCGACCCTTGGCGGCGTCGACAAGATGTAGAAGAAGGAGAAGATGGAGGAGAAGGAGGAGCTAATGGTGCTGCCTGAAGTGCCAGCGGTCCTGAAGATGGGGGAGGAGCAGGAGGGCAACTTCAGGGTTCTCGAGGATGAGGGCCTGATGGACTTCCTCCCGGAGCCGGTCCCCAAGGAAGAGCTCCAGGGGTGGGTCGAGGAGGCAGGGGCCACGATCCAGTTCTTCAACAGTGTCAAGAAGCACTTCGGGAGCGGCTCCGAGGAGTCGAGCTTCGAGGTGGGGACCTCGGAGTGCGGGCCTTCGTACTCTGGGGTCCTTTAGGCTTGAGGTGCCCCGAGATCATCCCCGCCTGGCCGTGTCTCTTTGGGCTGTCGGGGCCTGGGGGCGTTTTTTTTGGGGGGGGGGTTTGCTGGCCTGTTCGGGCTGGGCCTTCTGGGGCCTGGCGTGGCCCTTTCGGGCTGCCGCTCCACGGAGACCTCGGGAAGGCGGAGAGTTTCTCGGCGCGGCCGTGCGCCGAGGAGCGCTCAGCGGAGCAGCGCTCGCATCGTCAGTACCCTCCTCCTCCTCCTCCTCCTCCGCCTCCGCCTCCTCCTCCTCCTCCTCCTCCTCCTCCTCCTCCTCCTCCTCCTCCTGCCCCCCCTCCTCCCCCCCCCTCCCCCTCCTCCTCCTCCTCCTCCTCCTCCTCCTCCTCCTCCTCCTCCTCCTCCTCCTCCTCCTCGGGCGTGAAAAGAAGAACGACGAACCTTTGTTTGCCATTCTCGGCCTCGGAAGGCCCTCGCTGGGCCCTGGGTCCGTCAGAGGACGGCTCGGAATGAGAAGCCAGTTCTGGAGGATTGGTCGAGACCTCCGGGGATCCAAGCTGTGACGAAATCATGAAGTGGTGGGTCGTGCCCAGGGGACTCGGGGAGCGGTGGGTATGGATACCTGCCCGCTTGTCGCCATCGCTCGGACGTCAATTCCCCGTGCATTTGTTGATGCCGTGCGCTTATTTTTCGCAAATGATCCAAGATGCTCGTCGACGGTCCTCGCCGGGGGAACGATGCACACGTCCGAGCGATGCCAAGGCTTGCGCGGGCGGGCAGCTATCCACATATCCACCACTTCTCAAGATCCTGGGGCACGCAGTGGATGTGGACACATACTCTGGCAGTGGGCTCCTGGAGGCGGCCCAGCACGCAGTTGAGGTTGCGCTGCAGGAGGAACGGGTCCTCGATGTGCAAGCGCCTGGCGTGCCTGCCTTGCAGGCTCCCGAACCGTGCCTCTGTAGCGGCGAGCCTCTTCCCAAGGCGCACGCTCACCACCTTCGGCGGCGCGCACATGGGGGTAGGGTCGGGAGCGGGCAAGAGAGGGGGCTGTCCAAGAGGGGGGGGGGGTGCAAGTCATGACCGGCGGCACGTGCGCGGCCCAGTGGGGGGGTCAGGGACGTAATGAAATAAGAAGTGGCGCCATGAAATCTGGGGAAATATCATGGCCCCCGCCAAGATATCCACCCCCCCTAGTCATCACACCCTTCTTTGCCGCCCCCGATAGGGGGTGGGATGAAGCCTTCTTAGAAGACGGCTGCTTCTTAGAAGGCGCCGGCCCTACATCTACTGACAAGGCCGGCGGCCTGCGCCTTCCAAGAAGCAGGGGTGCTTCTGAGAAGCCTTCTCCCCTCCCCCTATACTTAGGTCGGGCATGTCCCTCTACAGGGGGACTTTGGACGAAAAATAGAAAATGCCCCAACAATACTCCAAAATAATCCAAAATAGTCAAAAAATAGTCCCCTGACTATTTTTTATTATTCTTTTGAATATTCCCCCTGTAAAGGGACAGGCCGACTTAACCCTACACCCCTCCCCAGACCCCCGACGTCGTGATCTTTTCACAACGTCGACCCCCAGAGGTCTTTTCATCCTGAACCGCTTCTTGACGCTCCCGAGGCCTGAGAAGGGCCCCCCGGAGGCCGAAAGCAGCGAAAAACCGCCCGTCGTGGTTCTTGTCGCAGCGCGAGGGGGTCTGGGTCTGCCTGCGCGTGGCCGACACCTCCTGACCCTCCCAGAAGCTGCCGCTGTCGCTGTAGAACCGGAAGAAGCTCGCGTCGGGCGAAAGGGGGGGATAGCACCAGGGGGGTTTGAGAGACAGCTCACGTGGCTGATCTTCCCGGCGCCCCCCTGCGCCGGGAGGCGCCCGTGCATCGAGGCATGGGCCCGGCGGCGGGGCCGAAACCAGCTGCATGCAGCAGATTTCGTACCCCCCCCCCCTTCCCAATCTTGGGGGGCGGAAAGATACGGATACGTGTTGTCCCCGGACCTCTCTTGGGGTGCGTTCTGACCAGAATTTCGAGGCGAATCCAGCGGTGACAACGAGGATTCCCCAGGAGGAACAGGAAAGGCCGAAAACGAAGGGGGACAACACGTATCCGTATCTTTTTCTCCCCCTTTCCCAATCCCCCCCTTTCGCCCGGCCCGAGAAGCGCTCGAGGAGCTCCGCGGGGGCCCGCGCGCAGGACCAGCGGCCGCGGCACGCGGCCACGAGGCGCCCGTCGTACTGCTCCGCGTGCGCCTCCTCTCGGAACGCCGCCACGGGGAGGCTGGCCGAGGAAGAGAGGGCTGCAGAAACATACAGAGCTGAAGTCGGGCCTGTCCCTCTACAGGGGGGCATTCTCAAACAAATAGTCAAACAAAAATCCGTTTTTTTAATTATTTGTTTGTTGAGCTTTTGGGGGGTATTTTTTAGTATTTGTTTATTTCTCGCCCAAGCTCCCCCTGTAGGGGGACACGCCCGACTTACTACGAAGCTCTGGAGCTCCGCGCGGAGCTCTTGGGATCGGCGCTGGGCCCCCCTCCCTGGCGAGCGGAGAACGCGCCAGGGGCGGCGCGCCGGAGGCGCCACAAGGCCGGCCCACCGCGGACCCAAGACATCCGCGCGGAGCTCCGAGCGTTTGTGCGTTTGTGCCGCCCTCTCTTCTTCGAGATCGGGAGCCTGACCTCCTGGTCCGCCAGCATGTAGTAGATTGCGAGGAGCGCGAACGAATGAGACGACAGCCTGCCACGAGAAGCGCCGCACACGCCGGCGGCCTTCGCCCAGAGCTTCACCTGAGGGACAACCATCGGGGGGGACTGGGGAATCAGCGATACATCGCCGATAGATCGGCGATGGGCCCCCGAGAGGAAGTCCGCACCTTCCTCGGCGGGGCGGGGCTGCCAAACCCCTAACGCGATTGGGGGTGAATGTATGCCCCCCTGCATCGCTGCCCCGGGTCGCCGCTTTCACAAGGCTTCGCACCCGGTCGTCGAGGTGCGCGTACCCGCGCAGGAGGCGCGTGTTCTGCAGCCCCCGCGTGTTCTGGCAGGACAGGTCCACGTCGAGCAAGTCGTCGAAGCAAAGCTTTAAGATGGGCACCCTGGCACGCAGCACCTCTGCGGGCAAGGTTTGTGATGAGGAAGATCCCGATGAGAAGGAGGAGGGGGAGGAGGAGGGAGAGGAGGAGGAGAATGCGGAGGAGGAGGAAAAGGATGAAGAAGAGGAGGCCTCGCGCGGCAGCTTGAGACCCAATTTACGTCGGATCCACGTCGGATTTACATCGGATGCAGGTCGGATGTACGTCGGAGCATCGCCGCGCGAACTGGATAGCAAAACTGTTGCGCGCCGCGCGAGGTCTCCAGGATTTGCCTCATGAGGATTTGTATACATATCCACGGTGGCCTGGACTTCGGGAAGGGATTCCAACACCCGAGGCGCTATGGATACGGATAAAAATCTGGCCTCGCCTGAGGCCAGAACTTCATACATGTTCACTGTGTCCCGGGGTTTCTATCGGCGGCGAACGAGTGGGAGAAATGTGACGGAAAAGGCCTTCTCAGAAGGCGGCGGGACTTCTCAGAGGCCCTTGCGCGTTCTGAGAATTTTTTCCTGTCTCCGGGGAAGGCTCAGGAAACTTCTCAGAAGCTCGAGGGGCTTCCAAGACTTCTGAAAGCCCACGCCTTCTCGCTTCCCCCCCTCGCTCGCCGCCGACTCCGAGGACGGGAGCCCAAAAACCCGAGACGCAGTGGAAGTGGAAATGGAGGAGGAGGAGGAAGAGGAGGAGGAGGAGGAGCAACCTCCTCCAAGATCTTGAAGCGGGGGTGATCCTGGAACAGCGGGCCGATCTTCTCGGACATGAGGCTGGCCGGGGTCTGGCCGGCGGGCAGGCCGCCCCGGCGCAGGCAGGTCACGTCCACGTCGGCGCCGCACGTGTGGAATGTGCTGGGCACGCTGCCGAAGGGCCGCACGCACCACTCCTCCCCGGCCTGCGTCAGGGTGGCCTCCAGGCTGCCGAGCGCCGCGCGGATCCGGGCGCCCTCCTCCCACCTCACGGCGCTCTGTGCCAGCCTCTCCTCCAGGAGCCTGCCCAACTCCGCGACCCTGGCCTCGGCGTGCGCTGCCGGCCTCTGCTGCATCTCTACTGGCGCGCCGTGTGGTGCTGAGACTGGCCGATTCAAAAGTTGAGCTACAGGCTCGCTCTGACAAACCGCATTCGCTGGAGCCCGTCACGGTTTTCGACCTGCTCGAGGCTCGAGCGAACAACCGACGACGACCGACAACGAGGACGAGGACGAGGACGACGGACGACGACGGTAGACGACGGACGACGACGACGACGACGACGACGACGACGACGACGACGACGACGACGACGACGACGACGACGGCGACGGACCGACCGACCGACCGACCGACCGATCGAGACGACGACGACCGACGACGACGACGAGGACCAACCCACTGACCGACCGACGACCGACGACCGACGACCGGACCGACCGACCGACCGACGGACCGACCTACCGACGACGACGACCGACCAAGGACGGGCCAGCCGCACGCGCACGAGGGCGCGCGCGCGCACTGGCCACCTTTGAGGGCGAGGCGCGGCTGAAATGCTCGGGACTGCGCCCCCGGGCCCGGCCTGGCGCCCTCCCTCCCCTGCCGTGTGCATATCATTACAACCCGAGGCGTGGAGTGGTTCCAGCCCTCATGCCTCGGAAAGCGTTCCAGCCGCCCAAGCCGACGAGACAAGCGCGCTTCAGCCCATCACCTTTGCGAGGGAACGCGTTCCAGAGGCACACGGTGCGGATTCCAGCCCTCACTTTTTACGAGGGACTGTGTTCCAGCCGCTCATGCGGACAAGACGAATGCGCTCCAGCCCCTCATTTGCACGAAAGAACACATCCAACGGACAGGCCGACCGACCGACGAACGACGACGGCACGGACCGACCGACCGACAGACCGACCGAAACGACGACGACCGACGACAACGACGAAGACCGACGGAACGACACACCGACCGACCGACGACCGACGACCGCAACGACAGACGGACCGACCCCACCCGTCCGAGCGCACGCGCACTGAGCCACGCCTGGGCCACGGCCTCAACTAAAGCGGACGAACACACCTCGTGAAAATTCTCACTAGCAAATGATGCTGCTGACTGTGGTGAACGTGCGCATGACACTTTACACCAGTGTGTAGACGTGCACGAGTGTGTTGGTCTCAACATCACCGAACTCAGCCTGCATACACGCATGCCGCATGAATACGACGAGCGGTACGCACACCTGACGCGCACAGTACGTACACGCGTACATGTGCATGCTCACTTCTCCCGCTGCTTTGCGAAGAGTGGCATGGTCGATGCAACCTGGATCTCACATTCGGTAGGGGTTCTACTAATATTTGCGATCACGTCGGTACTGATGGAACACTGCATGCTCGAAATGTTCTGTTCACGTACGGCCCTCGGCGCGCTGGGGTGAGATGGTATGCCTCTCACCGCGTGCCTCCGAACAAGAACCACCCCCTACGGTTGCCTCTCCACCATGTCCACGGCCCCAGGGCGGCTACAGGATGGCCCGATGCCTCCCCCAAGGCAGCTACACCATGGCCCACGACCTACCCACGTAACACATGCCAACAAATCCCCGAAACCACAACATGCCTCCAATAACACCGCAAGAACCGCCCAACAAACGGCAGCGGAGCCCTCCGACAATTTACGGGTGAGCAAACGTTAGACTGCACTGGCTCTTCGCGTCGTGCAACTTGGTATTTAAGTTCGGCATGCAAGCTGAATGTGGGGATATCTATATGATGACCAAACATAGCGGTAACTGGTAGCTCCTGGTGGCGGCTTGCGCCCTGCGCACCATGGGAAGCCATATGAACAAATGCGGGATTCGGGTCAGACGCCCTGTGGACACGTACAGCCGTGCAGCAAAATAATGCCTTTCGGTGACCATCGTGTGGCTAGCACATGGGCTCGCTCGTGGCATAGGTTGCCTGGTCGCGCAATGCAATGCAGTGGGAAGCAATGCGAATGAATACCAAGAAACCCTCGGTGGGAAGCCGACGTCGCGAAACCTCGGTGGGACGATTCTTCCGAGATGCGGAGAGGCAGCAACACTGCGGGAAGTAACCACCTTCCTCTGACACGACTGCCTCTCAGGGGCTTTGTGGACCTCTGGAGGCCTCTTGGGCGCGTATTGAAGGCATTTGTGGGCTCCCACGAAACTGTCGCGACAGGGCCTGTGAACTCTGGAGCCTTTCGCAGCCATGCCTTCTTGGGGGTTCTTGTGGGTCCCATTTGGGCAGTTTCCCTAGGGGCCTCTGGAGCCATCCTGGAGCCATCCTGGGGCCATCTGGGCCGTCCTGGGCTGGCTTGGGAGCCTCCCATGGCCCTCTTGGGCCTCCCTTTGTGGAACGTCTTGGGAGCCGCTTGAGCCCCCTTTGAGTCGTCTTGGGGCTCTCTTGGGCTGTCTCGAAGCTCTTTTGGGTTATCTTGGAGCTCTCTTGTAGCCCTCTTGGGCTGTCTTGGGGGAGTTCCGTGTTTTTCCAACGCACGCAACATGGGAGAAGAAAGGAGGAATCCGCTGCCCCTCAGGAAGGCGATCCAAAACACCACAAACAAAGATTGCCAGAAAGCCGAACAGGCAAAAAAACTGCAATGGCCCTGAAGCTCGGAAGCACCCGCACTCGAACCATGGTTGTCCTGCAGACGTGGCCGAAATTCTGGCCGCGAATTGGCGCAGAGAAGAGGGGAAGGAAAAAGGCGCGGAGGAGGGGGAACACACGGGAAGGCAAGTTTCAGACTGCGTACCTGGCTCACCCCAGCCCAGTGCAGAAACGCAAAACGCACTGAGACTGCAATGCGCCTGAGCTCGGCAGAGCAAAACCCGGCATGCCGAATAATCTGTGCGAAACATGGCCACGCTATGAGGGCAGGCGGCCCGCCACAAGGACACTGCGGGCTCACTGGCGGTTCCCTGGACAGGGAGCGACCGGCAAGACCAGAGGGCCCCCTCCACCAGCCACCTCCGCGTGCACCGGCATAGGCGTCAATTACCGCCAGCATTCGTATGTGAGCGAGGAGGAGGCAGGAAGAGGCGGCGAGCAGGATCACCCTGGCAGGGTCAGCCGGCGCTCCGCCTCCAGGAGGCGAGGGCAGGAGAAAGGGGGCGAGGGGGAAGGGAAACTAAACTCGATTGCCGGGCGCACTGCCTCCCAGGAACCCATCGGCCACGCGGCCAGGACAGAGGGGGCACGATTGCTTGCACTGCGTCGCGCCCAAGTCTGTGGCGACAGCAGGGGGAAGGAGGGGAGGGTAAGAGGGAAAAGGAGGAAGGAGGAGATGCAACCCTCTTGGTTACCCTGGAAGCTTGGCGGGCCATACACTACCACGACCCCCCCCTGCGCCAACGCAGACGCGCGATAAAAAAATGCTCATCGAACTGAACCGGGATATCAACGCGAAAGGGCAAGAAGGAGCAAAGCGAATAGAAGGAAAGCAAAGGAGTAGAGGGGAACAAAAATGCGGACAGAGCTCCCCTGTACGCGACGTCGCCTCCCAGAGAGTTCCTGAAATCGCCGCCCAACTGTTCGCTAGTGACGCGCCCATGCCTCAGTGAATTGTGGACCCGGCACAGGGCGTGTGATTATCGCCCTGCTCCGCGCGATGATCTCCGCGTATGGCCAGTCGAAGCCCCCCAAAAGGTACAACTCTCCGCCCAGCATGCTGGCGGCGCCAGCCCAGCGCCTGCTGCCAGGAGCCGGCGCACCATTGAACAGTGGGCGAAGTGCAGCACCCAGTCGGGCCTGCCACCGCAACCGAATAGACAAGGAGTTTGGCCGCGAGAGCACCGGCTGGGGCACCAGCCACCACAGAGTGTCCGCAAATAACCAGCGCAGTGACCCGAGGCCCGAGGCGCACTGTCCGCCGCCGCGCGCTGGTGTCGCGCCAACGCCTGTGCAACCGGTGCCCCGGAAACGTGGCGACTGGCCAGCGGTTCAGGCGGCGTCGCAGATGCCGCCAAGGCAGCTCGCCGTCGTCCGCCCGGCACGCGACGGCCCCCTGGCCCTGCCAGCCCGTCCGCTCACCCAAGCGCACGCCGCCGTGCGGGGGCCGCGATTGCCAGGGCTGCACCTGGCGGTCTGCCCCGGACAGCTAGAGCAAGGAGCACTGCGAGCGCCAGGGCTGCAACCAGGCCTCGCGGCCCAGCGCCTGGGTGCCCCCCTGGCTGGTCAGCGCCACCATTCGCGCCGCTCGCCGACGCGCGCCAAAGCGACCGCCGTCCTCGAACCGGACCGCCCGCGCCTTGGCGGCGAGCGCGGTCGTCAGGTCCTCTAAACAGTGCCGCGGCATGTGGAAGTCCCTGAGGCCCTTCAAGCAATCAGTAGTCAGCCACCCCGGCGGGCCCGGGAACACGGCCCTGCGGGCGCTCTGCTCCGCGGCTGCGAACTCCGGCGGCGCCGCGTCACGCCGCGCCGTGAACAGGAAGGCCGACGCCGCGCATATGCCAGATGCCGCAGGCGCTCAACGCGAGAAAGGAACCAGCATCAATACGTTTCCAAATGCGCGCCCTCTCGGCGTACTTGGCCGGATGGGCAGCCCGCGCGCGATGCCCGAGGTCGGAGCCGAGGTGGAACTCCAAGTTTTTCGCGGGGCCGGCAATCCCCAAGCTGCCCCGCCGCGGCGCCGACGTCGCAAGCTCCCGCCAGAAGTCGAGTTCCAAGCGCGCGTCGAGGGGCGCCAGCGCTGTCTTGGGGGCGCCGAGGCCCAGTCCCGAGATCCGGGCGAAATTGGCGAAGAATGCCTGCGGCGCGGAAGGCCTCGGTCAGCGCCCCCAGCAAGACCGCGGCGCGATAGGGTCGGCGCAAGCGCGGGGCGCGGCGACAGGGGAGGGACGGGCGAGTCTGCGCGGGTAGAGGTCAGGCACAGCAGCGAACAACAATGGTGATCAAGGACATCCTTGGCGAATGCCCCTCGAAACCCCATGCCAGCGCGCGCCGATCCGCCCGGCGCTATTTGGCAATGGTTGCGCCAACGCATGCGGGCGATGAGATTGCGCAGCCGCGCCGACGAACGCAGCTAGCGGAACAAAAACAAATGTAGAAGCCCG